ACCCAAACTATTCCATGATTCTATGATTTCATGACTAAAGTACATTTTTACATCAGGTAATGATATAATGCTTTCAACAGTGGAATTGAGAAAGAAGTAAATACTGAGAGTGAGAGTGGAAGGGAAAAAAAGCCCCCAAAAGAGTGAAGCCAGTACTGGAGATGGGATATGTGAGAATTTTTTCTCAAGTTAGGCTCTGTGCACTGTCCCTTATATGGTTACAGCCTGACTGCTTAAATTAGTCTTCACTAAACTGGAAAAATGACATTGCCTCTAGTTCCTCTATATTTAGAAGCCTTAAGGAGGAAACTCGGTGGGGAAAGATAACTAGTATAGGCTTCCTAGAGCTGTTACAGTGAAGTGACCTAGACTTACCTGAGTGATCTTTGTCAATGATGTTAAAGATGATCTCCAGATCCTTTCTGTATCTGCACAGTGTTTCCACCAAAGTTGGCTGAACCTGGTTTTGAAATCCCATACAGGAAACCATTCAGACCTTGGTTTGAGTTAGTCTAACCAGCAGAATATGTACTATCCAAATCTATGTTCCCAATTTAACTTCTCAAATGTTTTAAAAAAACTCCTTATGCTCGAGTTTCCTGGAATGATACTTTGTGTTTTGCCCTGAGGAATAATCAGCTAAAACCTGTGACTTTCAGATGGTGGGGCATGGGGGGAAGGAGCCCTTCACACCTCCTACCTTCAGTAATTATTTGTGGAAATACGGCTAATCTAGGGAAGATGCTGCACACCATGCACTCATACAAAGCTTTCACTGTACATAAGTGAATGGATCCTGCTGTTTAGAAAAATGATGGAGACAGCTGAGTACCAAAGCACTATACAGCCACTCAGTAACAACTGGACTCTGTAAAAGAGACCTCAGCTACCATTAAACATCTAAAACTCCATCTACAAATGTGACTCCCTCCTACAGGTGCCTGAATTGGCTCTGGAACACATTTGAAAAGCTCATCTCAAAGAGTGAGGGTTGAGTGCTCCGGGTAGGATTTCTCGCATCTCCTCAGCTACATTATCCAAACGCCCTTGAGAGTCAACGGAAAGTAAGAAGCAGTTCTAGCATGTGATTCATCCAACCTATTTTAAGCATCTACCTTAGCAGGGAATGATGATTCGTACCCTAGCAGTGCTCTTTTCCCTCCAGTGACTATAAAAGGAAGCTTGGCAACTAGTTCAGCTGTAGATGTCTACCTGATTGGCCAAACCACTGTCTTATGCCTCAAGTTGCACCAAAAGATTTGCAAGGAGGCGTTTTCCTCCTTACCTCTTTTATAGGTTGACCTATTTTCAAATCGTAAAAACATGACATGAAGTCAATTTCTCCATCTGGGTTCATCTGTGCTAACTGAGACCGCAGCATCCTCCAGGGCAGTTCCAGCTGTAGGACAGACTCCATCGCTGCAGCCCAGTCATTGACAGCAATCTTGCCTGCCGGAAGGGGTCAGTTCATGGTTACAAGCAGTACGTGACACAGCACATATCGGTCACCAGCATGCCTTCCGCCGTTTTTAAGAACAGTTGCAAAACATAAACATTTTCTCCTAACCATGGGATAAAACCCCTCATAACCACGAGCAGCGGGGTTGGACTAGAGATTTCCACAGGTCCCTTCCAACCTCAACAACTTTGTGTTTCTACTATGATGTTCAGCATGTTTAAATACCTTTTGAGAAAACCAGACTATGCCATGAGGAGTACTTCAGATTTGAGCTGAGCTGCAAGTATAGAGACCTACGTCACTGAAAATCCAAGACAGAAATATGTTATACAGTTGTTCAGTGGCCAAAGAAACAGTACCATCACTTACTGATTGCCCTTTTAGGGGCACTGATGACAACCCAATCAAATGAGAAGCCATCGCGAGGAAAAGTTGTATTTGTGCTAGAAATCACTAACTCCTTGCTCCTACATAAAAGGTTCATGTATCAACTTACCACTGACTTTTCTTCAGCTGATGGGTGAGCGTGTGCCTCCTAGTGGCATAGCCAGTCAACTTTACTCAAATATCTCCCAGACTCAGGAGGAGACCAGTTCCCCCTCACCTGGGACCCCAATTCCCTGTCTGACATCTGAAGACACTCCTAAGTGAAGGTGGTGACCTTTGAGCTTCTGGAGCTGGATTTGCCTGCCCAAGCTCTCTGCCCAACAACAAACACCATTTCCTTATTTGCCCATGTGTTTCAGCTGTTTTCTTCTACCTACTTAAAGCTTCATCCCCTCAAGTTGTTTTCTGGGGCTCAGTGCTTGCTAACACCTGTCCTCCTCTGTGATCAGGAAGAATGTAAGATCAACCAGCCTCTGCTGCCCTCCAACCTTACACTGGCAGGCAGGACCCCTCTCCATGGGGTTTGTCCCCTCCGCCCCCCCCACCCCCCACGTGGAAGCTGTTTTCCCCATGGTGGCAGCTGGACAGAGAGGTAGTGTTACCTGTGCCGTTGAGGTCATACTGTGCAAAAGCACTAGTGAGTTCAGACCTGTGAGCATAAATCTTCTCTCGTAAGGACTTTAAGGCAGATGATTCAATTGTACCCACCCTAGGAGGAAAGTGCAGACCAGATCATTAAAGGATTTACATCCTCTAGCACTTCATGCTTTTCAACATTCATTATCAAATTCTTATATCCTTTAACATGTAGTATGTTTAGGGTCATCAAAAGACAACATTGGGGGGGAAAAAAAAAAACAAACCCAACAAAACAAACAAAGCCCCATAAGAATAATCTGAATTTACAAGATAATCGAGTTTATGCAGGTAATTCTAAGCTGCTTTGCTTTAGTAAATCTGACCACAGTGCTAGGCATGGCAAAGCTGTCATGATAAACTTTTTGGACTCAATTCATAACAGGATTTGTCCAGATTAACACTGCAGCCTTAAAGCAGACCTGACAGGCAAGTGCAGGCCCTTTACGAGTCCCTGACAATTGTCTGTTCTAACCGCTTACCACGTCTAATTACCTTTGGGAGTTTCTCAGGGCACCAAGTTAGAGTACCCAGAGCATGTTTTGTCTACTGTATTAATTTTTAAATTGTAAACTAAAAAAACAAGGAAAACCAAGGAAAATAGGTGCCTATTCAATTATTCAATCAAACTATAGATTTGTGGCAGGTACTCGCGTGCTAAGTGAGTACATGCTCACTGCGTACAACACACAGCTTTACCTCTCCCGAAGATTCTGCCTGCGTGTGTACTTGCTGACTTGATACTGTACAAACCGAGGAATCAGTTCAGGATTCAGTTTGATGTACGCTCCCCGGTTGCTCCCCTCTTCGTAATAGTTAGAGGCAGAAAATATAGTGATAACCTGATCATAGGAAACAAAGAAACTGGATTGGCTAGAACAACTCTTCTTGAGACTGATTTCTGAAACTGATCTTAGAAAAACATGCAGGTTACAAAATTAAGTGGCTGCATATAAAACCAGGGATCAACAACTATGTCGTTCACCAAATTGCTTGCACTTTTCGAGTCAGAGCTCCAGGCCTGTATTTTTGGCTTGTCATAGGAAGACTTCAGTTCAGAGGGCAGTGTGATATAACATGCTGTTAAACAGAAACCTCTTTCTAAGATAGACCTGTTTTTCAGGATTCTTGCTGGCCTTCTGATACAGCATGTCAGAAAGCAGGGCCAGAAGTGATTAAGTTAAAAGGCTTCTAGAGCCTTAGAGCATTTCTTGCACTATGTTTACACATAACTCTCCTCAGGGATTTTGTTGATGTTCATTTGTTTTCACATGAGTAATAAGCCAGTCCCCACTCCCTGAAGCTGTAAAGAATTTTGTTTGTCAGAACTCCATAATTTGTTCTAACATCTGTCTAGCACACAATTCTCCCAAACCCATTTTAAAGAAGTCACTCATTTTTTTAATTAACTTTGCAGACAAATCTACTGTGGATGTGCCTGTGAAATTCACAGGAGAATTCTACTTTACATGGAAGCATCTTACCTTCCCATCGTGACTGATCTCGTAACCTTCCGGCTTAAATTCATGAGACCTGATGAGCATCTTCAGATTATACCTTTCAAACAGCTTGGCAGTGACATCAGGGCCAAAGCAACAACCTCCTCCTCGACGCTTGTTTGGTGTACAGCCTTTTTGGCTTCTTGGATCACTCCAGAGAATGTCAAGGATCTGTAAATAGCAAACTCAAGCAAGTGAGGATTGGCAGTAGATGAGGACTGGCAGGCTATGGCTGTCTAAAGTACTGGCCGTGGCAAAAGCCCCACAGTACAGGGAGAAAACACACCTGAGCTAAAAAGTAGCTCTCGTGTTTTCTTCCTTCCTTTCAGCAGGGCATTCTTTTGGGCTGAAACTTTTGTTCTACTTTTCTTAAGAAACATTATCTAGATTTTGGATGAACTTTTTCAGATGAAATATTATTTCAGAAATGTACCTCCTTTTACAGCTGAAGCTTCCAGACTTGGGTAGGTGCATCAGGAATGGTACCTGGTACCTGGGCTATTTCAAAGAGAGCAATAACTGCCGCCTTCACATGTAGGTGTGAGAGGCATTTTCTATTTCCCAGCACTGACCTGATAACCACATGGGTCGGTGGTTTTACCTAAAGTAAAGCTTGGGAGTGCCTGCTCTAAACATGACACAAGTTGCCTTTGGCTTTATTGTCTTGGGTTAGCTCATGTTTCAAAACAAGATTTTACAGACATGAGGATGAATTATCATGGTGTAAAGTCACCTAACCTAATAATTCTAGTCAGTAGCAAACATTAGGCAAAATGTGTTTGTTTAAACCTCACTGGACAAGGTTTACACTAACACATTCCACTTCAAATTTGTGAGTGTGGCTCAGTGGAGGCTTGGTTAGCTGGCTGAGTGTCAGATTTGAGAGGTTGCTTGTGCCCATTACATTAGTTTGTAGGTCAAGTATGTATCTTGGGAAATCACATTTTCAGAGACAGATTTGCTTCTCAAGAAGCAAAACAAAAATGTGTGCCCCTTAAAGCAGCTGTCTGAAGAGAAGTTCAGAAAAATAAACTTATACACAACTCAATTTTGAGCTTCTAAATTGCTGTGCAAATTAAGCTTTTCAAATTGTCACAATTTATTAAATTATAGCATGACAAGAGCTCCATATTGCCTCTAATATTCAAGAGGAAATGAACAGCCAGAGGACAAAAAATTCCCACTCTTGAATAATCAGCCTGTAGGTCTCAGGAGTTGTGGTTTTTTGGACAGTATCAGCATTCTGCTGCCAAAACCACAGCCAAAAAAGGTGCTCACTATCGCCAACAATTGCAGTCTGACCTATTTAAACTGACAACCACGTATGTACCAACAGATCCAACCACATGAGGGCATGCAAACACATCTCATACCGAGCAGTTTCCTCCTCCTAACGGCTAAGAAAAGAAAACACTGGGTAAATTGTACTTGCAAGGTATAAAATCACAAGCCTTTATTACCAGATCCACAAAAAGCATCCAAAGAACTAACAGCTGGCTAGTATACTCCAAGAATGATGGGTTTCTTATTAAGAGACAGTCCCCTCAGACTCAAACATACTGCCTGAACAGAGCGCCTGCCGGCTTTGTGCAGGAGGGGTTCGGTATCCACCTGGCTTTGATTTCACCTACTTGTTTCCATTCCTTCAGTGCGGGGTCTGAAGGCTCAGTGGAGCCCGATGAAGAGATGTGTTGTGTTTTCCCTGCAACATTCTGGTTGGCAATGTGTTTACTGGCTCTGGTTGTGGGAATTCTCTCCTTCGCTTGGTCCTGTCTGTCTCTTGCTGATTTTGGTGGCCGCATCAAAGATTTCAACTTCAAAAAAACCAAAACAACATTGAAAGAGTTACCAGAACATAAAGATGATACAGAGATGTCAGCTGAAAGGCACATCAGTTCCCATTTCCTGTACTCAATACTGAACTCTCATAATGTCCTGAACTCACAGGTTTGGTGGAAGCTGCAGGTGTTTGGGACATGCAGAAATTTTGCTTTATATCTATCAGCAACCAGCCTCTTCAGAGCTGCTCTCATACTCTTATCAAGACACACAGACTCGTTCCAAGCCACAGTCAATCACAAGGTCTCACGAGAAAGCAAGTACGGTCTGGGCTCAGGGCAGACACTTAAGTGCCCAGCTTCACTGGAAACTGAAAATATACATGTATACTGTACTGAAGATGAAACGGCATTCACTACTGCTCTGATACAGTAGCATGCTGCTAGGTTAATTTGGCTGAAATCAATGGAATATCACGAGCATAACCGTGAAATTGACGAAGTATTACATCAGGCCTTTTTATTGTTAAATCAACCTCCTCCAATATGCATGGGCATTTGCTTTTTTGGAGCTGTGTGCTATGGCTCCATGAATGCCCATTAATACAGACTCTTCTCCAGGGAATATCTTTTCTTTTCATTTGAAATTTTCTCATACCAGCTCATTTTTTGAACAAAAAAACCGCAACAACAACCCCCCCTGCCCCCCAAATTCTACTCTTCAACAGAAAAGAACTGATGCAAAACAAAATGCAAAAAAGTGGGTTATTCCCTAGCGCACTGACCAGTATTTGAGACCTGTCAGTTGCCAGCTGTACCAATTAAAATACATCAGTTGGCCTGGAGTGATATCACCCTGAGTTGTGGCCCAGACGTCTCATTAGCAATGCTCTCCTGTGGCAGCAACTTTGACCTGTTAATTCTGCATTTCACCAATACCGCATCAGTAACATGCTGAGCCTGGCCTTGGTGAAAGCGTGGGCAGAACTCAGGTCACAGTTAAGACACCTACAACTATAGTGAGGCACCCAATTTTAGTGTACAGGGTATAGCAAACGGAACCTAGACTCAGATGACTAGAAGTAATCATCGCCCTTTTTCACATCTTTAAGAAACAGAGATACACCTGACTGTCCTGTTAAAACTTTTATTTCTGTATTAGAAAACATGAGGATAAGAGAAATAGCTCTAGGTTCCACAGACACGAATGACAAGGTACACAAGGTTGCTTAAACATATGTATCCTGTGCCATCTGGGATGCTCCACCATGTCTGTGAATTAGCGTGATGTGGGCAGATATGATCCAGACCTAAAGGAGACCGGTGGAAGAGACCTGCGAAGAAGACTTTCTCCAGAGACAGCCAGAGGGGACATCCCTCGGCTACCGGGTGCATCCATGAACAGCACTGGAGACCTATGTCTGAGCAATGATAAGACCTAGGTCTCCACTGGATCTCCTGGATCTCCATTGATTATAAGGAACCTAAGCACCCCGCTCACAAGCAGACATCTCCATTTAGTTGTCTAAGTTGAGACCAAATCCCACACCATTTTTCACTGATTTGAAAGAGCTGTGTTTGGTCAACATTTCAGAAGAAAAATGGGTGTTTCTGTCCTCCAAATCCCTGAAAAGCAGTAGTTTCTGTTTTCTCAAGGCCAGGTCCTGAAGTTTGATCCTGCTCTCCCACATGTGCAAAGCTCAGCTGCTGCCAAGTGAGCGCTTCACAGGTAGAGAACTTCCCACACACAACAGATGGCAGAAGCACAGCCCCAGGACAAAAGGCAGTGCTAAAAAAATGTGACTAGATTGATTTCTAAAGTGTTTAGAAATGCCTGAGAATTAAGTACTTTTCATACTTTCTGGCTAATGCGTCATCATGGCAGGAAGGAGGCATCCAAAGTGTTTTTAGCTATTTTAAAGTCAAAAGACCCATGTTATTTTACAGCAGCCAAACAATTGGCTCCCACCATGTACTGAAACCTTTCTTCCTAAACACTGATTTTGAAGAAAAACAAGACTCTTTTTTTCCTTACGTGCCTTATACAGCAGCCATTTCCTTTCCTAATGCAAACAACTTGATCTTAGCATTTGTACTGCTAAATTTTTTAAAGAACACAAAATTACACCCACACGAATATGATCTCTTACCTTATTTCTCTCAAGTGCATTCAGGAAATCCAAATCTGTGGTGTCTGAAATCCCTCCATGTAAGATAAGAACTTTGCTATCAATTATAGTGGCGAGGGGAAGCCAGCTAAAGACGTCTCGCAGAAGACACAAAATCTGTTTCCCATGGTCCTGTAAAACATACTTTTATATTAGATCCTATTTCTGGTATATTCTGTTGCTTCTAAGTTCAAGATTTTGCTGAAGTGTCTGCCACAGTCTGTATGAACAGTTCCATCCAGGTGACACCCTGAACTGCAACACTGACAAACATGTTCTGACATTTACTTTAAGGCCATTTGATTGTCTCTATAACATTTTGTGTTTCTTTCACATGCACCTCTTTTTGTGTTCTTGAGTTGCCTTATGGATGTTATTTATTTCATCCCATAGATCTCTAAGCATAAAAGGCTAACAGTTAAAATTGTTTTGTCAGTTATTCCATTGATAATCCGAAATAATTTCAACTACATTACTAAAGTCATTCTATACTACACCCAAATAAACTGGTTGGAAGTTTCCTTGTTTACACAGATTTCATTGTACATGTGCAAGACTACAAAGAAAATATAGGGGAAGGAGGAGGAATCTTACCTTGTACTTCTTTGAAACTTCTTTTGTGAAGCCATATCTGAAAATAAGACAACATCATGGATTGGTTTTCAGTATGCCCCTTCTGCATGATTTTTCATAGTGTTTGCCAGGAGTTTTCTATCCCTCTTTTTCTCCTACCGTTCTGTCTTACCTCTGTTTAAATGTGCTTTCTTCTGCTCTGTCTCAAGAATTGAGTTAAACTGATTTCTTGTACATAAAAGAATCCAGACCAATAATTATTAAGTGGCCTTTTTGCCATCTAAATGAAATAGCTTAGCAGTTTTACCTTTTAGATACTGGAAAGAAATTTCCAAGGAACATAACTGATGATGGGCAAAAATTCCCACAAAACCTCCACAGAGTTTTTGTTCTAAATTACTCAACTTTATTAGACAGTGTCATCTATCATGTCTTTTCCCCCACAAGGGACAAGGATTTTGACACCTCACTCTTTAACACCAAGATATCCTTGGTGCAAGGGGCATTTTCACAACACCCTAACTTTCAAATTTACCGGTGTGCAACACTGCTAACCAAAATGCCCAGCAAAGAGCCATACACAGGAATCCATCTTTGCATTCCGTACCATCACAGATTTAGTCAATATTTTCCACTATTTTGGGTGAGAATTTTCCTATCTTGTAGATAAAGTAACTGATCTTGGTTTATGGTTTGTTTTTTTTTAAATTAAAAGTGCTGAAAAAGGATGTATCATGTGAAACTGATTCTCTTACGTGGAACATTAATAGGATTTGAACCTGGTCCTCTAACCCAGGCTTATGCCTTAGCTAAAGAGCAGTATATTCTGTGTGCATGCATCAAATGATAGAAGGGGTACAACAAGTTACCCACCGGTCACCGAAAAACTTACCGGGGCGGCTGAAAATTGTAGGGACCTGGACTGAGGAGTTCTCACATCTGTGAAGATTATTTTGCCTATAAGTCACACTTTCATTACAGCCAGAGACACTGGCTGTACTCACTCCCTTGGCAGTGCTGTACAGCTGAGTACAAATATCTGTATTAGAAAACAGGGTCTCAGCTGTTCCTGCAATGGGGTAGACTGCCACCTCTCAACTAATGGACCTCCATGATGTAGAAGCTAGGATATTTACCCACCCTTTGTGTTTGGGAAGTGACATCTTAGTCTAAAGTTAAGTGAAGGATCAGCTCCTGGTTTACTGGTTCCATTATATTACATACTACTATGTATTTTGCTGTGCTGTGGAAAAAGCCAATGCTTTAACTAAAATATAATCCTTCCATCCGTCGCCTTTCCCCAAATTTGGTACTCTGGAAGCTGCACTAAGCCCATTGACTTCAATGGATTGTGATTAGGTCAGAGACAAGACATGACTCCCATTCAAGTGCCTGTGTGTAATGAGGATGTTCTTTGTCCCCCTCACACATCTTGGAGATGCAGAGCTACACCTGAATACATAAGAAAACATTATTTCTGTTTTAGACTGTCACAATGGCTAAAGCAGCATTCAAAAGCTCCAACATTTCTAGTGAAAGACCAGATACTCCCTCCCCCTGCCCCCTACAATCTACCTCAGGTTCATGATGTAGTCTTCATGGTTTCCTCTATTCAAGTGTAAATCATTGGGGTAGATAAGAAGAAATGCAAACAGGATTATAAGTATTTCCATAGAATTTTTCCCTCTGTCAACAAAATCACCGTTAAAGACATAACGGTTTTGTTCTGAAGGCAGACCATTCTGCAGAAGGAAACAAAACCAACAACATTTAGAGATGCTTTCTGTAATAAAGGAAATAGCATTTCAAATGAGATCACATTGCTAGAAAATCTGCAAAAAACCTGCACAATACAGGGATCTAAAATGCAGGATTTCTTCATTTCCACTGCTTAGAATAAAAATCTCCACGAGACAACCTGTATGAGCCATCAGAGACGAGATGACCTTTCTGACTGTTCTTATGTTGTCATCTCTAATCCCTTCCTCTACCTATTAAATTAAATTGAAAGGGACCAATAGGAACATTATTCTTCTAATAAAATATACTTTTCTGTTAATGCAACTGCTGCCAGGAAGTTACGCACTTGCAAATAGAAAGGAGTTGTTCATTTTGAATCGAAGACAAGAAATCCATGAAAAATGTTTTTCTGACGCAAGTCTGAAGGTTCTTGTGTTTCCTTACAGTTAGAAAATGGATTTCATATATTTACAGTTTGCAGTGTATGCTTCCAAAACTCCTGAGAAAGACTGTAGTCCAGAAGACATCAAATCTTAATACAGAACTCTGAAGAACCTTGATTCCAGTTGCTTTAATCCTGAAAGCACTACTTGAATTTTACTCACATCGCACTTTGCCCCTGCTCAAGGCAAAGATATACTTAAACACTCACAAACCTGAGAGGCTGTATATACAGGTATTTCTTACTTTATTTTTTCTGAAGATATAGAGCAATGCTTTATTATGAGTGACTTATCGAAAGCTAGTATTGTGAACTGATGCTGTGTTTCATTAGATTACTTATCAATATGTCAATGGGTGCCATCAGCTTGCTTACAGAAAGTATAGCAGCAATTATGTGTAGCTTCATCATTTCCAATCATGAGTATTAGTAATATTATTTCAATTTTGACTTACCAGAAAAAGGAAACCTCTGTTTTCACCATTGGCATGCACAAGAATTATCAACAGAACATCTATAAAATCACATTATAACTCTGGAAGCCACTCTTAACAGGTTTGGTAGCATTGCAAAACATCCCACTTCCTGAATATAGCTACTAGGTCAGTGTCCAGCACTTCCTATGTTCCTATGGCATTCCCTGGTGTACCGCCTTAGCAGGTTTACTGCAGGATGCATGATTTGGCCAGAGACTCAATTAAACATTTAATTTGAATCCATTAGGAAATCTCTGTTTTCTCCCAATCAGTGTCCCACGCTGTTAGTTGGGATGCAGTAATGAATCCTGGCCTCTCGATTCCCACAGCAGCACAATCCTGACTGCTGTAAATACAGCTTGCTTGTTTTTTGCCATAGCCTCTCCCCAGTTCTCTCCACTTAGAAGAGGTGTGTGGCTGCTCTGTGCTCACAAGAGTGGCAATTTATGAGACTCTGCTAATGCAGTGGGTTGTAGTGGTTTTAAAAAAGAAAGGATGGATTTCAAGAGTGGAACAGACAGGAGAGACTCAGCAGCAGCTCCTGGAAAGACGAATTAATAAAAGCTTTGCCTTAAAACTGATAGGCATGTGAATCACCAGCAGACTGTCAGTATATACACAGCCACTCTGTAACTGCAGTCCTCATGGAAAGACAGATCTACTGAAGCGCTCTCCAGACTCTACCATTCTTCTTTTGGAAAAGCTTACCCACAACTCTTAGTTTTAAATGAGTTTGTTTTGGACTTCCAACTTCAATGTGACATTTTAGTTTTGTTCCACATTCATGCAAAGTTTTTATTTCCTTTTCTGTGGTTTCAACCAACAATAAGAGCAAAACTAAGTTAAAGGCTGTTGCAGCCTCTGATGTGTCAAAGAGGAGAACAAGGCCCTCTAATGATTAGCAACTTGCTGCTGGGCATCATTACTGTATCTGCTGGGTTAGTGATTAATTAACTTCCATTTGTCGTCTGCATTTTCTACAGCTTCAGGCTATTTCTATCCATAGCATCCATTTAACAATCTAACTTAGCAATACATAATCTAAAATTCAAGGGTTTCAAGGAATTTCAGGAAATGCTGTAACTTAATGGAGATTAATGCAGGGACTGAATGAACCTTACAAACTGGCTATTGAGAAAGAAGTAATTATCTTAGCCTCACCCAAACCAGGTTTAAGAATTATACACACTATTACAACCAGCATCGTATCAATAGGCTGTAGATTGCTAGCTTCTGTGTGTTTGCTTTTGGCAGTTTGTAAAAATGCTGTGATAAAAGTTCCCTGGACAGAGCCCCACACTCAAGGGACCCGGTCTGCATGCAGGCCTCCAAAATGCTTCAGCAGCCACTTCAGCTCTGCATGGCTCTGCGCAGACCTGACATCACTACACTCCTCATGGCACTGTTTAGGATTGCACCCTCTTGTTTAAGGTTACGGGTGGTTCATACCAACTCTGAGGAAGAAATCCCTTCCAACTGAAACAGAGTTACGGAAAGCAGAAAAAAATGGATCCCAGAGGCTGACTGGGTTCGCTGCTTGGCTCAGTAAACTGCTCAGAGGGGACAGAAAATTCTGTGTCATTTAATTAGCTTCTAAATAACTAAGCAGCTCTATCATGTGCTCTCTATTTTCTCAACCACTTTGAAATGACAAAATATTTGTCCATTTTATTCAGTTTGGTGGAAGGACTCCTCTAGGAGCTTAACAGAGAATGACTGGGGGTAAACTCTAGTGCCTGAAGTCAGCGGAAGTTTTGGCTCTGAATTTACTGGTCAGGATTTAGTCCTTGCTTAGAGTTTTTTCTCTTCGTAACATCCATTAGAGAGGGGAAAAAGAATCATCATCTGTTTACTCCAAAAGAGTAAAATTCAGGCTGACTTCAGTTGTAAATATATCTGAGCATTTATCTTCAAAATAGTTCTTTTTCCCATTCCAGGTCCTGTGTATGAAACCAATCTGTATCGCACTTTTATTCCAGTTTCAAAAAGGAAGATTGTCTAGTTAAAGTAACAGCTGAAAGACTGCAAGCCAAGGACCAGCTAAATGTATTTGATTGATTAATAAGAAAAGCAGAACTCTGTAAAAAGGTCTGATTATACTTCAGCAGGCTTCAGGTATGAACTTGGGCAAAACAACCAAGTTTCCATTCAACAAGTGTCAGGTAAAGTGTAACAAAGTTGGAAGCAGGGGAGAATTACATCTTTTAAACACCTGGTTTAGCTCATTTCAGTCTCCATTCAGTGCAGATGAATGTATAAGGATCAGACACAAACCCTTTCCCCCGGAAAGCTCATATCAAAGCGAGTATCTGCTAAATGAAAGGTGGTGATTCATGCTAAAGATAAATGTGAAACTAAATATAGGAAATTTCCCGCATCTTCAGTTAAATATACAATTGTGGAAAAGATAGCCTGGAGCTTAATTTTTTTCACATCAGTAAAACAGAGCTATGCTTTTTTAACAGTAAAAAGTGAGCAGCTGGTCAAGGATATGTAAAGGGTGCCCGAGGTATTTCCATTTTGTGCAGACTATGTGATTGCTTCCAAGACTTAAAAAGCTTTTAAACAGATAGCACTCTTTTTTGTTTCCTGTAAACACATAATAATAAAAACCACTTTGAAGGTATCAATGGAAATGAAAGCTTCTGCATTTTTTCTGGAGGGCCAAAATTATCCATGGTGTAGTATTACATCAGGAACTAAGTTAGCTCTTGATTTTACAAGACTTTAGTCAATATGGAATATAAAACAGTAGCAGGACTTTGGAGACGTTGCAAGGAACCCTCTTAAATTTTGGTTCATGCTCCAGTTCAACATTTAGGAAGAGAAAGATCTCCTGGATCTCCTCCTTCACAGTGAGCAGGAGGATATAGAGAAGGAAAAGCTACAACAAAGACACAATCCAAATTGTTCCAGGATTTGTGTGTGTGGTACATGCACACTGCATGTACAGATCTAACAGTGATAAATCTATCAATCAGACATAAGTACATGTTCTTAGCAACAAGTCATGAAGAGAAAACGCTACATCACAGACTGCCTACTTACCTTATAGAATATCAGCAAAAGATCATCCAGGTTTCCATGCAAATCTCCTACAGGAAACAAAAACATAATTTTCTTTTTTTTTTTTTTTATTTTCTCACAGAGGAGGAAAAAACTGGAATTATAAAACTGGAATTAGTTACTCCTAAGAAGTTTTCCCCCATGTTTTCCTTAGTAATTTGCCTTGTATTAGGATTAGCTTCATTTGAAGGTACATGCTGAAGCTGCTTCTAAAATCTGGCAATTAAATACTTAAAAGAGTATACAATTGTCTTGCATAAAGTTTTTCTCTTTCCAGCTGGATCTGAAGATCAGACCGGTCACACAGCCAAAGGTTCACTCAGAGAAGTGGGAGTAAGATGAACAAACATATTATGAACCTGAAAAACTGAAAATGTCACTAGAAGACATTTAGAAATATGATAGACTTCTACATACTAACAGATGTAAATTTACTAAGTAGCCCACTATATACAGCACAATTGAACATCTGTCTGATTCAGGGCCAGGTTTTGATTACTACAGGCAGGATTTGATGGAGGGTGTCAAGAACTGTCCGTGCTTGTATGCCTCAGTGTTAAGGCCACAGGAATGACAGATTTGGCCCTTTCCAAGAGATTTATTTTGGAACAGGCAGGGGGATTTCACCCCAACACAAAAGATCACTGCTGCATAGCTCCCCTCTGCATATGACTGAATTTCATGCCCACAGAACCAACCTTCTCACGTCTGTGACTCACCACCACAAAGCCACAGAACGGTTTCAAAACCTATCGTGTGATAATATGCTTTCACCAGCAAGGAGTAGGAAAGGAGAGAAGTGACATTTTCATCCTGTCTACATGTTTTTTGTGCTACTTTTTATTAATTATGAGCCTGCTGAAGTCATTCTAAGGAGCCCTTCAAGCTATGATAGATTTTCATCACATATGTGGATGCAAACATTTCAGGTGCATATTTAATCTGTATTATTAATTTGAAATTAAAATAAAAAAACATGCTGTGTAGTGAACAAGTATGAATCCATGTTTCCTTGGTTTGGAGAGAGGTTTTGTTGGTTTGGTTAACAAATTATTGGTTATATAAAAGCTCATTTAAACAAACCCTTTCCTGGCAATCAAAGTAGGTGCATAACCACATTTTAAAAAACATTATTTGTTTTGCATGTGTCATGGTACCCTTCCTTATACCACTTTCCATTACACACAGCACTGCTAGCTGTCAGGAGTTAATGTCACCATTACTGTTCTGTTTTGCAGCTACTTCGTTCTGTGGCAAGTCAGGATACTGCATCCCTTTATCCATAATTTACAAAAGCATAACAAAATAGACGGGCAATGAGCTCTTAGTTCTTTACCTTGTGACACATCACATCATTCTGTGAGACTAATTTGTTGGTTGTATAAAGACTGATCCATCTTCTTGGGTCCCTTTAGAAATGAGGGTTTATTATAATTTCAATTTATTCTAGATAGTCATGCTGTCAATGAAAGGTCTTGTTTGCCACCCTTATTAAGCCCTCATTAAAATCACTACTGAGTAAATTATGATGGTAAAGTCTTTTTCTCAGTAAGAGGAGAAAGCAGTGAGATTTGCAGCCTATGATCAAAACACTTTAGAGATGGAAGTGCAGGAATATTTAACTTACACTGCAGCGTTAGCTGAATTAATACTGACTTATTCAGAAATGTTTAATGAGAAAAGGAAAGAGGAGGTGAGGGACTTTCTTAAAATATACTTAGTGTGACTCAGGAACCTTATTTTTTTTGGTTTGTTCCAATTTATGCATTTGTGGGGAAAAAAAAAGGAGAAAAAAAAAGCATCAAGAACTTTCTTGTAATGGCTTGGAAATGTCTGTACCATTCTCTAACCACTCAGAATATCAACCCGTAGCCCAGTTACCTTCTCTGGCACCTTACCACAGACAGTTATCTCCCTGGAGTAGGAAGTTGAAAGATGGGTGATATTTGGCATCTCTTTGAGAACCTTCCTAGTTTCACATAGTAGCTGCAGTACATAGCGGGCATGAAGCAGCTGTGAGAAAAAAATGCAGGGAGAAAAGGGAGACTTATTAGAAGTAGCAGTATGTCTGTCTGCTTTATTAATATCAGACACGTATTGCCAAGATTATTTATACTACAGACCTCCAGACATGATTACAGGCTGTATGGTTTAGTGCTGGGAATTAGGAGTGTTCATAGCTTTGCACTTGCTTCCCGGTGAATGGATATAGAGCCCTTAATGAACTTGCTTTACATATTTACCTATTTTATTTCTAGTATACTGTTTCTACTCTTCCCATCTACAGAAAGAATAAGAGACTGAGTAATACAGCACTTAGAATCATTGCATAAGGTCATTTGTTCAAAGTAACTGGGGGGAAAAAAAAAAAAGGATGTAGTTCTAGCTGTGCTTAAAAAAAAAAAACCACAAACCAACCAAAAAACCCCCAAAAGCAATAAATGATATTTCAGCAAATTGCAAAAATAATGAGGGGGAAACTCCAGTAAGCGTTGCCTTGTTAAGAATTATCTTCCTGTTCGCTGTGAAGATGTTATGAGAATGCAACATTGAAGCTTCTGGTCTTCTCTGCTAATGTTTTTTATGATAACTTTGTCAGTCAGTGATTTTTAAAGCTTTTAATTCAAACACAACTCTGAGGAAGTTTGGTAGAGGAGATAGATGAGCTACAGACTGACTTTTCAAAATTCATGTTTTTAAAGCAGGCAAAAAAGGCCAATTAAATATAATCACTTCCTTAATAAAATGCCAACCATAGTAAGAGACGAGAGAGCTGACAGTAAGGTGAAGTCTGGGTGGGCTTATTTACCATAAGCTTTACATTTTGCTACTTTTAAGATCAGCCTCTGCAGAAAATTACAGAAAAAAACCCCACCTTTATTTAGTAAATTGAAAAGCAAGATAGACCCTTATCCTTTACATACAGTATATTGTTAAGCACAAATGACCGCAAGTTCAAACAAAGCTGTGCCACGAAATGCCTCCATGCCCCACCCTCATCTTGTAAGAGGGCAGCAAAGGGGCTTGCTCAGGAAGACAGAGAATCAGCAACAGACTTTTCAGTGCCTTGGCAGCCAAGACAGCAAGCTCCTGAGATTTGTGCTATCACCCTGTTCCACTACATTAGCGATGCTTTATATTCACTCTTCCATTATGGTGGAGTCTTGCACAGAGGCATGAGGTGATTAACTCTTGCATCTCAATTCCTCTAAAAAGAATGGGGTGGGGGGGAAAAAAAAAAAAAAAAGAGGACCACACAAGGAGCACTTTTAACCCAGAAAAAGATGATAACCAGTTTCTAGGTTAGCTTAGGACACCTTCCCCAGTCCCACTCCCTCACTGATAACCCCTGCCTTGCAGCTGCTAAGGGTTCCCATTTCATGATCACTGTAATCTCAATGCTAGAAGAGGAGGTCCCCACTAGTCCCTGCCCCCTCCCCAGTGCTGTTTCTGGTGGTCATGCAGCCAAGTAGTGAATCAAATCTGGGAACTAGTCTGGCTGAGAACTAACTGCTTTTGATTTTGTTGTGTTAGCTTCCATCCAGATCGGTTTCCCAAGACAACTCACCATGTACCTGTACAATCACATGGGGCTAGCAGGAAATGGCAATGGGATGGAAAGGAAGGGAGAAATATCTCCTTGGGCACCAGTTTAGCCTTACATTGGATTCAACTGATTGTGGAGCTACAGCTTGACAGAGATGTGAAATAAGTAAAAAGAAATCAAACTAGTTGCAACTTACTTGTTCATTCCTGAAAGCATGAAGAAGAGCACTGGCATCTTCAACAGTAAGAGGGAATGAGAGTCGTGGTCCATAATAGGAGTCTGGAACATCAATCTTCCTTTCAAATTCTGTTAAACATAAGCCCTCATCCACCTGAGAAACACTAGGACTGGTGAAAATGTGAGAAACTGGAACAAGAGGAAAGAAAAACAACAACGTAGAAACTCCACCAGTCCCCCATAGGGCCGTAACAGCGCGACCAGAACAGGTTGAATGTAACTGATGCTTTACTTGCTGCAGTATTACAGTGGCTAACTCCTGCCTCATATAGTGGAAGAGCTCCAGGTCTCCCCAGATTGTTTCACAATACTAAAAACAAACAAAGAAACAAACAAACCCAAAAAACAAGCAAAAACTCTGTCCCAACAGCCAGTAGCTGTGGTCAGGATGCAAAACATTTTGCACTAAGTTGTGGAGCAATCTGCTCTCATAGGTAGTGAGAAACATAACCTGCTACAGACTTTCTCCTCCTTCCCTCACAAAGCAAGGAGATTCAAAAGTCATGGCTGATCATTCAATGACCATCATCTGTTTGAAGTTCAATATTACACTTTTAATACAGGTTTTAAAGATTCACTTTTATTGCTTTTATTTTCTCTGTAAAATTTTTAGGCTAAATGCCAGCAGGTCAGTGATTACTTAAAAAGTCATCAACAAAATCCTATTTATTCACAGTGGATTGCAAAGCACTCCTTTCTGATACAACTAGGAGACAATGCCAGCTTTTGGTTGGCTGCCATAAAACCATTGGATGAAATAAAGTAAAAAATAGCGGTAAAAGTAGAGCATAGCTCCTAATTTTCCTGGAACACAGAGAAAGCAGAAACATTGCTAATTGCTTCAATCCAGTATTTTCTTGACATACCCTTGAAATGTAATGGAGTGAACAGTAGATTTCAGTGTTTTCTTCTTGCAGATTGTCTTTATCATATATTATACTAAAAGAGAGAACCAGACCCTAGAGGACAGTGTTCTGGCAGCTGCTGTGGCAGAGTTGCTCTTGTGAGATGATTGTTGCAAACACTTTTTGCTGGGCTACAGGTATGTTTTCTGTAACCTTGATTAGATGCAACTGGAAATAAAAATGTATTATTCATTGCTGGAGGAATAGCCGTGGCTGTGACTCAAAACTCACAGCAGCCAAAACCAGCATGTGGCCTCATAAATTATGAGATTCATAAAGGCCAGCTTGTCTTGTAACTGGATAAAATCCATATTAAAGAAATAAATAGATTAAAATACACTTTTTATCAGCTCTGAATTAAAAAAAAAACCTTTTTTTTAATCAGCTCTTCTGCTGTGAGCTGATTAGCACATTCAATGTACAGCCATGTAAATGGATTAAGGTATCAAGTAACAGCAAGGTGCTCAGGGTTCACCGTTTCCACCAAGTACAATCTGATTTGCAGTCTTCCACCACAGTTACAGCTTTGGCTGGATGCCAGAACGTCACCCATGGCCTGAAACTGCTGGTTCCCACATACTGATCAGCCAAGCACATCTGCACCAAGTCTCGTCCCAGCTCTAGCAGCAGGTCTCTGGACAGCATCCCCCTCTGTGCCCTACCTCTCAGGAAGTGGGTGGCTGCAGACCACGGAGCCAGTTCCTCAGACCACCCAAATTCCTCATTGCTTGCCTGTTCTGGCCAGAGGCTCTCCTCATTTGACATGATTCTGTTAGAGTCAGCGGTCTTCTCTGCATTTCAAGCCAGGCAGACACCTGCCATGCCTGCTCCTACTCCAGCCCACCCTTCCTGCATGCAGTAGGCTACCCTTCCCTTTACCTCTGAATATGAACCTGCCTTCCTCACAGCCTTGCTTCCTTTTTGGCAGATGCCCAGTCTGAGAAACCCAATCTCCTTCCCTGTAGGGCATATCTCTGCAAAGTACACCCCATTTTCCACTTCTGGATGAGTCATCAAAAGCCAGTCATGATCATTAGCCTTAGAGTGTGCTTATGTTTCCTCAATCAGTCTTTCAGCTGTCAGAGGAGTCAGTAATGGATGACGTAATGCAGCCGTAGGGATTAGTGTGCTGGCCAACGAGTACCCCAGCTCACCACAAGCCCCATGCAGGACTAATTCTGAAGTATTCAGCATCCTTCTCATTTCAATCATCTTTTAGTCAAAGCTGTCAAGGCTCTTTCAGTCCATATTGAAAGACAGGAATGAAAACTCTCAATGTGCCCAGTTCAGGCACCCATCTTAAGACAGAATGAAATACCCTCTGCCAGTGTCTGCATCTCTCCATCAACTACAGAGAGCTCAGGGAATGATCTGCTTTTTTAAACACCAGAGGTTTAGCCCAAGCTCAGTGAGTTGAGCCTTCACTATTAGCAGATCCCATACAACTAACAGGACAACAAAAGCCCAGAGCTACATGGAGTCAGTTTGGCCACAGAAAGCTGAGGGACCTGGTTCTCCTGACAAGACCACCTCGCCATGGGAATTGTTCAAGGCAAGTCAAAGACGCCACTGCCAAGGATGTACTCGTTATTGGGGTAACAGGGAATCAGCTACTTCTGCAGCTCTGATATAAGCTCTCTGTTCTGCCACCATCCGTGTGCCTTCAGACTAACCATTGGGGTACTTGAGAGCACCTCTGACTCCTGAGGAGTGCTCTTACATCTGCCAGATACGGATCCCCAGCCATCAGGTCAAAACCAGATGCACCTTGAGCCTACTAAGAGGATGAAGATTTCTATAATGCTCCAAACATTTATTCCTTCACTCCATTCTCGGAGCTGTAAGCTGCAAGCAGCTGTGACTTATTCTCCACTGCAAAAATCTCTATGCAAAATGCCTTGGAAGGATGTTAATGCTGTAAGGGAGACATCATGGGCAGTGAAACTGCAGAAAACAGCACTTTTTTTTGTTCCCTTTTGAAGGAAGCCTCCAGGAGGTGTGGCTCCTGCCCTGGTGACCTTGAGAGGCACAGCCAGGGGTGCCTTGGACACCCAGTCCCACCACTTTGCCCAGGATATGCCTGCAGCCTTCTCACCCTCAATATGCCCACAACAGAGTGAGTAAATGGGTCACTTTTGCTGGAAAAGCAGTTTCCAGCTTTCTCTGACCAGAGATTTTTCAATTGAAAGACTGAGTAGGTATGAAGATTTTTTTTTTGGGAGGGAGGGAGAAAAGTGTAAGGTGGAAAAGTTTTTAATTCTTACTTCCCACAAACCCTTGGAAAATAGCCTTTAATCAGAATCAGAACAAGACACACAGCTATATAATATCCCAATCACAACTTATCTGCACTGACATCTTAAGCAGGATGAGAGGATGAAAAAAGCTTCAGGGTACAACAGATAAACAATCACATCAAAAGCACTACTGTGTTAATGAGATGGTGGCTGCTTTCTTTCTTTGAAAAATATATTCTGAAAAAGCAGATTAAAAGAGGAAAGTGACAAGATGAATAGTGGAGACTGAGTGGTTTATAATGCAAGGAAAAACACATGTAAGATCACAAAATCTTCAGGTAGCTTTTTCATCACATACTGAGAAGAACAGGCAACCTATTCTCTGGTAAGAATATTATATACTGTCTTCTTGGAGAGGGCTTTTGAACCATATGCTATCACTCTAATTTAAGTGAGCACACTGATTTAAAAAAAGCAGAGAATTGTGGGGTTTAGAAAATGCTTGGGAATAGCAAAGCCAATTTGAAGCCTCTCTGCTTGTTATGTTTACACTCACCATGGCTCACGTCTTAAAACCGTGATTCAGCAGAATTGGAAGCAGTTCATTAAGAATCACTTTATTCGGCACTGATTTTGCTTAAATCAGTGGGGCTAGTATGGGTGCTGCAAAGGTCACTTAGAGGAGCAAGCAATCGAGAGCTTGAAGTAAAGAATGCACGCAGCCAGTAGTTGCACAAACATACCCACAAACCACAAATTTGATATGCAAATTCTCAAAAAAACCCCCTAAGTCAGCTCCTTTGCATAGGTGGTCTGGGCCACCTCTCTGTCAAACACGTACCTTACAGAATCTTTCTGTTTCTTTCTGGGTTCTGGTATCTATAACACAGGGTGTTAGAAAGGGGAAAATAAACCAAAACAAAAATAATGCCTATAGAGTAGTTATAGAGCCTTAACAGCTTCAGTCCTAACAGATGAAAGTTTTAAGCAAGCAAGACAAAGGGGAGCTTTACCATAAACCATACAGCAGTATGGCCCTCTAAGGCTGATGGTGTAACGGCTCCCCCACCAAGCCATCTACCCCAGCGGCGGGCAGGCGCTTGAGAACTGTCTCACTACTAATTTCCTCATTCTGTATTACACAGAAGTCATTGTACCCACCACTGGAAATGCATCACAGTTATGCCACAGCACCTGCTCATGTGTTTCAGCCTTAACCACGTTCACAACTCCCAATATCTGCAAGACCAAAAAACAGGTCACCCATGCAGTGGTGACAAGGGGCAGCCCACAGTACCCTCTGACCCTCCCTGTGCACAGGTGGGGCTTGGATCTCCACCTGCCCACAAACAGCCTATGCATGTAGCAGTGTGCTCTGTACCCAGCCACGTCCTGAGCCCTAGCAACTCACCTGAGGCACCTCACTCACCTTTGTTCCTTCTATCAATAGACAATAGTTAATAAAGGTGGATAAATCATATCTACAATAAGCAACTGTAAAATTCCCTTTTAACATTATAATGAAAATAGTGATTAACACTATTTTTCCACATCTCAGTCCTAGTGCTACTATTTTCTTTCCCACTCAGGCAGAAAAGCTGAACCGAGGTGCGCTATCAGCATGTAGAAGTAGGTGAAGTGAGCAGCGTCTGATTTTCTTTGAGTTTGCCAATTTTTTCCCAGGAAGTTAAATGACTAAAGCAGATTTTTTTGCAGAATACAGTGGTAATGGAAAAAATCGAAGGAAGGACTATTGTATCACCCGCCTTGGCTTTGGAGCAAGGCTCAAACATAACTTCTTTTTCTGCAGAGCACAGAGAGCATTAGGCACTCTAAAGTATTTAAGAAAGAAAAAATGCCATTTCTAATGGTTGTCATTAAAACACTGAACCACTTACGGTTTTGATGGTGGTTTTACCCTGCTATCAAAGTGTCTTGTGCAAATTTTAATTGGAATAACCTGTGGCTGGACCAGATGAAAGAGAAAGGACATTCTCTTGTAATTCAATAAGAAGGGAACAGCCTCCTTTTTAACTCTGCTGGGATTAGATCTATTCTCAATTTGTTCAGGGAAGTCATGTTTGTTTTCCGGACTTAGGAAGTCACTTTCAGTCTGTCCTTCTGTTGAGCTTGACCTCAAAAGCAAGTTTTGTCCAAGGATCCCAAAATACTTCAAAAATTAAAGGTTATTCTTTGAATAACTGAGCTTTAATAGAGATCGTTTCTAAAGATTTATCTCCAGCAGTTTAAATTTATTTCATTTTTAATCATTCACATACTGATACATGTTTTGCAGCGAAATCTAGAACGAATTAAATTAAAAAGTGGTCCAGAACTGCTTCAGGGAGAAAAAAAAAAAAAAAAAAGAAAAAGAAGAGCAACCTCTTTGAAGGCAACCTCTTTGATTACACCTGCCCTAAACCAACTAGACACATTCTTTCTGGATAATCACATCTCATAGTTTAAGAAAACATGCATAGAAAGCTGTGAAAATTGGAGTCAGTAAGGATACCATGAGGACAGTAACATGTAAGAAAGCACTCTGAGCACCTCTGAGTATTCTCATAAGGACAACAGGTATCTGTCCAGTCTCACACCTTGACTCACTGAGTAGATATTGAGCAGAGTCAACACTTACAGGATCAAATTCATACTACGGTATTTGGGAAACCAAACCTCAGCCCCAGCACATGCCATAGGCTGTAAACATCACATTGAAAATTAACTTTCCTCACATCAGATTTTTCAAACAGAATCTCCATATTACTTTGATTTTTATCCTTACCTGAATCAGGATGAGTACAGTGATCCAGCATGAATGTAAAAAAGTTGGATAGCTGAGTACGGAAAAGAAAAGAACAAACACACACTGATCAGTTTAGGGGATCCAACAAGCATTAACATTCTCTTTCCTTACTCCATTACTAGCAATTTCCCATTTAGGGGGATGTAAGACACTACTGTATGTTCCCATAGAATGAGCCCACAATAATGACACAACTTGTGTCCTACTATAAAAATGACTTACTCCTTTCCTTCTTTGCTATGAATTAGCATTATGCTATGATACATACAAAGTTCCACAGCTGTATCAATGCTGCTGACATTTTTGGGTGTAATTCATCTTGCCCATCACGCAGACTATTTGCCTAGATTTCCTTTGTAGTCAATAGAAAGAAACTGCTACGATGCACCAAACTGACTTTAAACACTGGCGCTAAGATGAACACAAAGCCCTAGAAGTTCCTAATTCCCTGTATTGACCCTAAAGGAAGCCTGGGCTGTCATGCTGAGACATTGGGATCTCTGTTGCACATATCTTGCCTCAGAGACACGGTTAAGATCACCCATAGTGGGATGACCTGCAATCCCTGCCTAACAGCTGTTCTACAGGAACCTCTAACCTAGATATGGTTGTACAGACAGAACGGTGTCCAGCTGCTTACGTAGTTTTTTATATATCTATATCTATCTATCTATATATATACACACACACACACACATATATACACAACTTAATTAGTTCATGTGTGAGGCAGGGAAGCGGTTTTATTATACAGGACACAGCTTTGTAGGTAGAAATAACCGCATAACCATTTTGTTCATGCAACTTCAGTCCTCTGGGGATAACATAACTGCTTGTACAGGAAGAATTGAAGATTACAAACCTGTAGTTGATCTTGCTCATCAGCATACTCGATTGACTGAAAGATACTCAGAGAATAGCGGCGCCTCATCTCTAGCCGGGCCATTGTAAAGCGGTACCAATTCTGGATGAGGATAGCAGCTCTAATGACTGTCAAAACAGAAAGCAATGGAGCACACATGTGTGCAGTGTAATCTACAATGAAAACACACATGCTACCTTTGCAGAATTTTGCAGACAGATGACAAATTCAGTCCATTGTGCACAGTCGACATTAAGATGAAGGTCTGTAAAACTTAGACTTAAAAAGTGTTTTCTGATAATGAGTACATGATGCATTTACTGATTCTGTCTTTGGGGACAGATCCCAAACTAGCTGACTTGCTCAGGCCTATATTGTTAGAAACCTTCCCCATTTCATTGTCCTGAAGACAGTACCCATGTAAGAAGTCAGCGACGTTCAGCTGATGGGCAGTATGTGGGTTTTGGGAAGGTAAGGAAAGGAAGAAGAGCAGTTTGGCCTACCAACAAAATGTGTTTCTTTACCAAGCTGCAGTAGAAAGCTTCAGACTGCAAGCTGTAACATGAGCATCGTGTAATGACAGAGTTTTTAAGTCTCTTTTAACGAAAGTTTTTGCCTGCACAGCTGTATCAGCAAGCCATGAAAATTCAAACCTTAGGGTAAAATGTTAACAAGGGGTATTGAAGGGCAGAATAGATGCTTAAATAGTTGCTTAAATAGACATGCCAAAAGGCACACAGCTATATCTTTGGCTAGCTTGGTGAACAAAGGAACACTCACCCCAAGAATTCAATGGGACATGTCAGAAGACTATTTTGGACTATGGGCAGAATACACATCCCACGTAACACTTTAAGAAGTTGTGTCTACTGTTGTCCCAGTCTGGAAAATTGCTGGAAACTTCACTGAAGGACAGTTGCCAAGACTGCAGCCTAGGGTGAAGGGCCTGCTGCCTACAGGCCCCAGTCACGCCACAAACAGATGACATTCCCTTAGCTGCTCAAACAAATAAAAGTTTATCAAGCAGAACAACATCTGGTGGCACAAAGAGGTCCTGGGTTGGGCATTGCCCTGTGGGGAGAGCTCCCCACACCAATGTCAAGCAGTTAGTGCTGCGTGAACAGCGCCCACCAGTGAGACCTGAGCAGGAGGACAGGAGCTCCAGCAGCTGATGCCCACCTGATCCCTCCCCACCATGCTGCCAATCCCCCCCTGCTACTCCTGGTACCCAAAGGGCGGCAGCTCTCAGGAGCCGGGGCGTGAAACGTGGGTGGCAGTAGCACTGCCAGCAGGAAGACAAGAGGAAAGGCGGGCAGGCGTGCCCTCAGCATCACAGATGATCACTGCAGCTCTGATAGAGCTGGTGGGAGGAGAGAAAACAGAAGGCTGGAGGGGCTGTGCTCAGCCTGAAACAACCATTAGCTTGGGAGAGGAGGAACAGATGAGCTCAGCAGTAACTTCTGCTGTTTCACAGAGCTGTGACTCTCTAGTGCTTTAAGGATGCTTATCCAGAAAGATCAACTCACTTTAAGAAAAGCATTCCTTGGTCACTCATTAACTGTTTTTTTAAGATCAGCTAGAGAGGAATAAATGCATGTTTCATATACTTAGGGCATATGTAAGTATGGATTTATCATCCAGAGGAAGACACCATTTACTATACAAAATCGGAACAAAATGCAGCTACTGCCTTGAAGATCTGGCAGCTGAAATATGGCAAATTCAAATCTAGTTATTTGCTCAAATTATGGTCAGAAGGGACTCTGTATTAACATGCTTAGCCCTACAGAGCACTAACAGGGGTGATCAAGAGGCGTTACATGCATCACTGCGTAACAGCGAGAGGAAGACAGAGAGCAGGGGTATTGGATCCTGCACCTGTCCCAATGCAACCACATCGCCGCCACCATATTCTTGCCTGGCAACAAAAAATAGAGTAAGGCAGGAGGCTGCTTTCAAGAGATGCACATTTACTCACTTAAAGTTGAGCATAATTCTTTCTTGACTAGTTCCTTACCTCTTTTTCCCTACCTCTTTTTCCCTGGACTCTCAGCAGGGTACCAGTAAATAAGTAGACAGGGCCAGAAATGTCAAGCCTTTGCCTCCAGCCCTGCAGCTAACACCTCACTTCAAGGAGTTTCCTAAGGAACTCAACCCTGAATAGCTCAGCATAGGACACAGAAAAAAACTCTTTATGCTTCTCATCTTGGGAGAACAAATCAAAGCAGCTGCAGGGCAACTATCGAAGGTACAAGGACCAAAGGAATACGCTGATCTTCTCTCCCGATGCTCCCAAGAACTAGAGCTCATTTCTGAGCAGATGAACAGACAATCAGGGGGAGCATGGAAACAAAACTAAGACGTTCTCCTGAATTCCAGAGTTTGACACAATCACCACTGTACAGTACTGCAAATTCATGAAAAACAAAAAAGAGGAAACCAACACTAATGTCTTAACACGAATATGCTTGTATTTTATGGCAGTTGCCAAAATGAACAGTTGATACCGAAAAACAAAACAAAACAAGAAATAACAACCAACAATCCATACTAATGCTTTTTTTCCTCCTGCAAAACAGCAAAGAAAAGCTCTGTACTAGAGGGACAACAGTTTACACTAGTCAATTATTTCAGCTGATCACAAATACCAGGGATTTTGAGACAAGGATAAGTGGCACCCCCTGAGTAAGAATGATTTTTTTCTTAAACTGACAGTTATGCAGGTAAAGAAAAACTTCCATGGAAAAGTGAGTCTATCAATAAATGTATAACATTATGGAAGCTTTTTTATAAAAATGCTTACAGGTGCCATAACAGCACGTTGTTTCCTTATTTTACCATTAATAAGTATACAGTATAGTTAAAGTGGTAAAGTTTTCTAGTCCAGACAAGGCCAAAATCACATCCTACAAATATTGCATTTGTCCTAGAAAAATCCTCCTGCCTGAAGGAAATGTAATCCTTATATGAATAAGAGCATACATAAACCGTACATAAACTCTGAGATCTCTCTTATTTTCTGTCCTTTCTGGAATTCCTGACCACCACAGACCTGAAAGCCTGACACATCACAGCAAGGCTGTCATCAACGTTTCTGTTTACAGGAGTACCTAAGTGGCAAAGCACAGCCACCAGCACAGAAATTCATTTCCAGCATCAGAACCATTAAACTTCCCATGGGTTGCTTAATGGTCCTGAGCACTTAACATGGCACAATTCCACTGGTATCACATAAGGCAGATATATATTGACCACTATGGTTAATGTTGTAAATCTAACAGAATATTTCCTGTCATTTTTTTTTAATTGTACTTATTATAGCGCTGTTATTCTCAGGACTGAATCAGAACGCGATTTTCACACTAGGCTAAACTGCATCTGTAAAAGAAATTGTTACCAGTTGCAGAAGGTCTCTACACCAGCAAGTACCTGTTAAATTCATATTATTATGGCATTAGAGGAATGTACAGCCTCAGGCTGTAGATAGAATGACAGTTCAGCATCATTTGACCACTGCTGAAGTGCAGAAAGAATACCATCCAGCAACTGGAGAGGACAAAACATTGTCAAACAAGCACACAAAATTATAAGCCAGCTTTGGGATCGCAAAGCCCGGCTCCACACCAATGTGTATTGATGGTTGCAGACTGAGACAGAGTACAGCTCCTCATGCCCGCTCCAGCCTTTTGCACCCTTGGAAATATTCCCAACTAACTCACCTCCAAGGCTTTGCAAGGCACATACACGCATAGCATGCAAACCCGAAGAGGAAGGACCGCTTCCCAGTTACAGGTAGGTCTGGGACTCCAGATGTTTCCATTCTACTTCCACTGCTGTGATACAGCATTGATGCTGCTGTGACTGCAAAGTAGTGTACACAAAGCTGAGGGCTACCCTTAGACCAGCCATCTTGGATTCCTGAAGCCATGACTAAGTGCTCCTGCTTCTTAGTCACTATTTTCTTGTGACTTGTGTCCTGGCTTGGTAGCCAAAAAGAGCCTTGCTTTTCAACCATGGCTGTGCAGCATAATAATCTCCTAAGACTATGCACAGTGCCACATAACATGGCTCTCGGGAGACCTGTAAATTGTGCTTTAATGACAAACCTTGAAAGAGAACACAAAGGGCCTGAACAAATGTCTAAGCCAATCCTGGAACCCACCTGCCTGTGCAAAGCCTGGTGTGTTCATACCAGGGTGTGGTATGATGAAAAGTGGGGGGATGATGCATTAGGTTTTTAATTGAATGTTTAACCACGTACTGTGGAGACTTCCAACTGACTGTCAGGGAGAATTTCAGGGCAGGCACTTGGTATGGCAGAAAATTGATTCTAAGAGTCATTGTAACAGCTCTGCTTTATTACACTTGTTTCATAACCAGGGTCACTCAGCAGCAGGGAAATTGGGGCAGTTTGCCCAGGAATCAAACACAGTTTGCCTGTGTTGTGAAAGGCCGTGAAAGGTCCCCCTCAATACCCTACCCCATGCGCTTTGCCAGTGACAGAGCGAGCACAGACACATCTGAAATTTAGCTTCTGTCCCAGATGCTGTGAATCTTTTCCAACCCAATCTGTAGATGTTAGAGGTGATCTACAGTTGCCTTATGACCTCAGCCAGCATCTAAAAGCTATGCACTCTTTTAAAAAGAAGATAATTAGAAAATAATTTTCTCTGAACAAGTATTTTGACGACAGGACTGGGGGGAACCGTTACCTTGCAATCCTCTTCTGGTGTTACAGAGAGAACAACCACTGACCCTGAAGACAAAGGCAGCACTCACCTTTCTCTGACCTTCTGTCAGCTACAGAACTGCTGCACCCCATGGTTCCAATGATGCTGCCATCAGTTTTAATTGCTGCTGATACGAAGCATGCTTCTCTCAGCTGTTAGCGTTATACACATTTCCTGTGTTTTTCCTTCAATGATGAGGATTACACCCCTCTGGGCTCCTGGGCTCTTCCTAGCGCTCCTAACAGGGAGAGGATTGGGAGGAAGGGAGAGGAAAAAAAAAGTGCTTGACAACACAGAATCTAAAGTACCTACAGCTCAGAACAAATTACTGCATAGCATGTCCTACACAAACTGGACCCAATGAACCATACTAGGTTTCTTTTTCACATCTGATCACTATCAGCTTGCATTCTAGACAGATGAACTCAGTAATTAATACAATTTACTCCTTACATGTTAGCTGGAAGTTAATGGGCACCAGTGATTTCTTAATCTGAAGCACAGCTATTTAAAGCCTTTCTTCTAGGGACAAAGGACTACAGTGGCATATTACTCTTTATTCTTGTGATTTAAAAATTGTAACTGCAGAATTTTAAGGACTTTAAATTACATCTAATACTACTGCTAAAAAATCCCCAAACCTTAGCCTTCCTAACACTTTATTTATTTGAAAGGTGCCCTACCACTCCATTTATCACTTTATCCCTCAGTGACACCACCACCAAATTTACAAGGAGAGAGTGCCATAGCAAATTGCTTCATTATCAGATTTCATTTAAATGAAACATCCAATTTTCTGTTGCATTTCTACTGAAACATTCTAAATAAAAGATTTGGTTTCATTAAATAAATGAACAAAGTACATTTGCAATATGGCTTTTTACATTTTTCTCCTGGCACTTGCTCAGCTCTTCACTAACTGGTATCATTCACTAATGCAATACACCTCCTAATCAACAAGTTCAAATGAATACAACTCCCCTGAGATACAAAACGGGTTAATTTCTAAGTAACAAGAAAGTCACTGATGCTCTTAGAGAGACTGAACTTTGTTTTAGCTAAAGATTTCTTCTATGATCACACTGACCCCTCTCTCTCCCTGTCTCCAGGGATACAGGTTTCTCTCTAGCATGTCTGACATGTCTAAATTATTGCATTTGTGGTTTTGTTTCATTGATATTCATTTTCTTTTAACTTGAGTTTTAAAATAAAGACGAAATTAATCAGCATAAAATGAATGCTTAACTACTATTCCTTTCCTTTGGCTTTACTAGCAGAAGTAAAAATAATAGGAAGATAAGAGAGAGGAAAACATAAATGCGTAACTACCCTATTTTCAATTTCAATAGTTGGAGTACATTTATTGTTGTGGGACTATTTACAGGTTTTGTATATTTATTATTATATATTATATTATATTAATATCTCACAACTGTTTATAGTTGTGGGACTATTTTCAGGGTCCCACAACACAAGGGTATCCTACACTTGAGCTGGGTCTGCCACCTTCTAAGTCAGTATTTATTTCAGGAAAGAAGGATTTTAGGGTTTTTTCCCCACAATGGACTGCTTTTCTCCCCTCTGAAGGAGCTATTATGAAATTCAAAAAAGTGCTGTTACATTAATTTTGAGCCAATCAATGGCTTTGACAGCATCAAATACAGCACTGATACTGCTAATAGCTCAAATTTGTCTTCTCTCCAAACAATTGCTGTTCTCCTGAATACCGTCTTCTCACTTGCCCTCTTAGGAGAATCTCAAGTCTTCATTAGTCCATCTCAAACCAGCCAGCCATGACTTGAATTGTGATCTGAAGACTAGCACCAAGAGCAAAATAGAGCTTACAATCTAGGTCCTATTGCAGCAAGACCATCTCCACTAAAGGGCAAGTCAGCGTGAGCCCAGCAACCAGGCAACAAGAGCCCCAAACAGAACCATCGTGCCTCTCAGGACTCCACCCAAGCCATAGCAAACAATGGGCTGACCCAAGAAACGGGGATCTGAATCACTATCGCACCCTATTTTCAACGACTTAAGCTTTTCTCCCAGTCATCCCCACTCTTCCCTCCACCTACCTCTAAATTCATGGACTTCTAGCACATCCTTGAGCAAAGAAATAAAAAAGATAGAGACATGGGAACAGAAATTTTGTGGTGATAGCAGTAAATGAAGCCTGAAACATCCACTCAAAGTTTGGAGGAAAACTTGCACAAATATATCCTATCATTAAACCTCTTAAAAAGGCCAAATCTGGCCATCAAAGAGCTAGTCCAGGGGAATAATCATCTCCTTCAGTCCCAAATGTCTGCATCCTAAAGTGGACATGGCGAACATTCAAACTACTACCCTATTTCCTGATGGAAATATTGCCTATTTTCTATTTCCTGTTGGCTTCTCAGGTGGCTACAGAGCCACCCTGACCGCCAACCTGCATGTCCAGACTCCAGACCAGCCACACCTATTGAAGACTCCACCTGCTCCATAAGCAGGGTGTCCACCCAGGCCCAGCAAATTCACTTTCTGTCCTTCTGGTCTGACTAAAGAATCATGAACAATGGGAACAAGCCACTGTGCAAAGAGCCAGTGCCTCCCGCAGGCAGGGCTCTTCATTGCTCCTACCTGAGCCGCTCCAGAGGAAGAAATCCCTCCCCTCCTGCCCCCCAGGCATGTTGGTTTAAGCCAAATCCTGCTCCATGCCAAACCCTGCCTTCCGGGGCAAAGGCGTAGAAAAATACCAGGCAAAGGCCATGAAGGCCTTCCACGGGGAAGAAGGTTGAAAAACAAGCATTTAAAACATTAGAATCATTTCTGTGAGCTATTTACCATGCAGTGTAGCAACGTCTGGTGAAGAATCATTTGCCATTACAAAATTCCCCCAAATGTTGGCTGATGAAATGGAAAGCTGGGCTTTTGCCAAGGTATTGAAAAGGCTTCAGAGATACAAGGTAGCTGGATGAGAATTTGGGACATAATGCTGTGTTAGCGTTCTGGATACTATACCACTGATTTACCCTTAAGAGAGAATGTGCCATGTTCACTAAAAAGCAGGCAATAACTCAATTTCTACAAGCTGGTGATCTGTCCCATTTTTAGATGTAATTCCAAGAAATTGCTACATTTCTCTCAGTTCAGCAAAAAGGCAATTTTGCAATGGACAGGCACTGAACACACAGCCCATCCACTGAAGCAAAATAAAATGTCATTCCAACCATGCCAACAGACATGCACCAAGCTAAGCTGGAGTGGCACATGCTGCTCTTTTTCTGGATAGGAGTCACTGAAGGTTACACTGCAGCGAGTGCTCAGAAATTTGGGTTTCAGAACCTGAGCTGTCAAGAGCCTGATTTACAGAGGTAATGAATCAGCACCATTTGATCCAGATGTAATAGGTGCTGCCCAAAATCAATCATGCCTTCAGTTTGTCAGTCACATAAAGACCAGGCTGCCTCAAGAATAATGGAAATCTTGTAAAGATTTATAGCTGACTTTTAATGAAATCAGGCTGCAGGTCCTTTGGGCAGAGAGCCATCCTTTCAAGCATACCTTATCTTTTAAAATTAGATGAGCTGTACTACTGGCAGACAAGTGTAAGCTAGGTCAAGCCTGAGGATATGGAAGCCATACGAATAAGAGCCACTAGGCTTTAACTTCTTATTCTTGCTTTAGAATCATAGAATCATAGAATCATTAAGGTTGGAAAAGACCTCTAAGATCATCCAGTCCAACCGTTAACCCAACACCACCATGCCCACTAAACCATGTCCCTAAGCGCCTCATCTACACGTCTTTTAAATACTTCCAGGATGGTGACTCTTTGTTCCATTTGTTTCTTACCTTTGATAAACAAAGAATGAAAGGTTCCTCCCTTTATTTTTGTTGGTATGGGATTTCCACAATTATGCTACTTCCCCCACAAGTTGCTTCAACGGCTATCTCCAGCAACGTGCCTCCTTTCCCTAGCTGACCCTTTCTCAACCATGTTTGTGAACAGGTAGTTATGATCTCCTCCCATAATACGTCTTAGAAGGTACATGTGGTCGGAGAGGTGATGAGATAGGGACAGTTTTCTCCATAAATATCAGATGGACGGATGGGTGGATGCTTCCAGTAACAGGGGCTTTCTTTTGATGTCTTCGTGCTATCAATTTTTTAATTTTCTGTGACTCACAGACTTCCTTTAGAGTTGTCTTCCTTTGGAAATGAGGACTGCAGAAGACTGAGAAACAGATGCTATAACATGGGTTCATGATGGATTTGCCTCTGTGCATTGCTGAGGGAATGAAGCAGGAAAGAGCAAAATACCCTAGAGAAGAGAACCCAGACATTAAATCACAACACCCAGGTTAGCACCTGCAGAGGGACAACTCTTCAAAACTGTCTTGCTGCCAGAGTTGGGATTGTCAAGGATGGGAATCTAGAGATGAGTTCAAGATTTCATTAGCTAAAAGACCCACCCTGCAGAAAATGGGATGAAGCAGCCCCAGTCAACCAACAGGGTGAAAGAGAACGTGGCTATGGCACACAAGAGCTGTAATTTTGACACCAATGATGAATTTGGTCTGCCAAGGAGCTGATATGAGAACATCAAACATAGGCAAAGCAGTATGTGTTTAGGTCTCTGTTATTTTACATCCATGGGACAAACTGACATTTCTATTAAGTGACTTTCAGTGATTATATATATGTGAAAGAAAGAAATGAGAAAGCCTTTTTGTTTACAGATAATTTCTTCAGCCTGGTCAGAGGAGCAAGGCTAAGCTCAATATAGAACTGATGGAATAATTTCTAGTGATGGCCATGTTAATCAATCTAACCATGTTTGGGCCAGGAATCAATAAGGAATGGATGTAGTAAGATACCGCAAAGCCAGCAAAGCCTGAAAGAGAATAGGATGAAGACAGACCAGCTTATTAAGGTGGACTCATATTCCTGAGCCCAAAAATACACTGCAAAAAGAAATAAAAGCAAGAGCTGCAAAGGTGTGAACATGCAGAGATTGTTCACACGATCATTGAGTTCAGAAACCGCATGCAAATCCAAAGAGAATCTGTAGAAAAATTACAGAAGAAAGCCAGTTCGTGTTATTTACAAT